AATTAAAATGCTAATTGAAACAAATTAACAAATGCTCTTCATGTTTAAACAACTGCATCATAATGACAATATTCATTTTTAACAGATCTCACCCAGCTGAAGAGTGACTGGTGTGGGTTTAGAACCAGTATGTGATCCAACCAACTGGATGGCTGTGCCTTGCTGGTTCCAACATCCCAGCGGTCCCATAGAAATACACGTGCACCCACTGCAGATTAGAGGCAAAGAACAAACAATGAGACGTAAATATGGCTGCACCTCTGGGAATATTCATGCATGAAAATCAACATGAATCACATAGATTACACACACAAATGTTCACATTAAGTCCATTTTTAAAGAAGCGACACCATAATGGAGAGACACTCCCTCCACCCACTCCAACTTACAGTTAAGTGCAAAAGTTTGCAGCCCCCTGGATTTGAAGAAGGCTATACAGAGCAGACAACTAAGCAATATGGTAGACTTGGAACAGGTATGCCATGAAGAATGGACTAAAATTACACCTGAAAGGATACAACCGCTGCTCAGAGGGTACCCAAAGAGGTTGGAGGAGGTTAGGGAGGACATGCAAAGTATTAGAGAACATTTCAAAGTAAGGGGATGCAAACCTTTGCACTCAACTGTATAATCTAAAGCATACAACTAACTTTTAGCTAGTGGCAGTGGGACTAGCATTTGTAGAAGTGTCAACCACAGTCATATGCAGTGAAATTTTGAATTCGATTCGACACCTGAAGAGCTGCTGATAAACTGACCGTGTCACCAGTCACATTTAAGATGAAGATTGAATTCTCTGTTCACTATCTTCAAGTGTGATAATGCATCACACCTGACAAGCCATACATTCAGTGATTCTTTTTTTTCTTTATGGATGTCCTGGAGGCTCTTTGTCTTTTGAGAGTTGCTTCATAAACACTTTCTCTCCCTTTATTTATGTCCTGATCTAAAACCAGTCCTGCTGAGACATTTTCACACTTTAATTTCCTGTCTTCTTGATGAACAGTAGGATAGAGCCAAAACAGGATTACTGGCTAACAGCATGTATTTGTTGGCGTACGTGTGAATGACATTGGCTGCCATACGTATATAAATCTAAAAACGCAAACTTGAATAATGCAGTAGTTTACTTCATAAAGTAAACCAGCAAAAGACTTAGGAAGCCTTCCACTAGCATGTATTTTTAAGGTTTACAGACGATTTCTGAAATATTGAATAGAAGGCGTTAAAAAATGTGTCAAACTTGTGAATGCATAAATCAGCTGTACAAGAACCTTTCCTCAATTAATAATCTCAAACATTTTTGATCATCTCATCCTGACAGAATATGAAAAGGCAAGATTTTAACACAACTACCAATCCCTATAGTTGTCAATACTTGATGATACAGACACAGTTATGTGTTCTCATTGATTAAAATAAATAATAATAATAATTGGGAATGAATAATTATTAACCCTCTGGCTGTTGATGTCCTCTGATCATGGTGATTAATCTGATTTCTGAATCTCATTTCAGGGATTTTGCAGATGCAAACAAACTGGATCAAGTTTTCATAACTGTCTTCATTCTGGCTTTTTTAAAATTCAGTTACCTAAATCTAATCTCATCACATCATAGTTTAATTCCACATTTCCATGAATTAAAATGTACTGAGTAGAAGATAATTTTGTCATTGTCACCTGATGTTTCTTCCAGGTTGAAAAATGCCTGTAATCAACTCAGTAATGACATAAAATCAAACCTGACGTTTGGCAGATATTGCTTTACCGGCTGATTTTAATCTCCAAGGCAACTCCTAACTTCTTTTGTCATTTCTCTCTCCCTGGGCTTTGCTACGATGATGAAATAAAGTTATTTCACAGCTGACAGATCTCGGAAAGGGCAGAATCAGTGGAAAAGGTCAATCATGTACAGCAGCGGACCTGCTCTGCTTGAAATTAGATTTTTATTCACCTAAGTGTCTCCTCACAGAATCTATATAGTGTATTTCAAGTACAATGATCTATGCATATACTACTGGGATTACATGTACATTCACTGTTAGAATAAACTTAATGTCATGAGAGTGGAATAATTTGAGGCTGCAGCCTTTTTAATGTCCTTTACATGTAGGTTTGTTTAAATCATAACCCCAGTCCAACCTAAGAAATGTTCCACAACTACTAGTTAAATATGGGCCTCTGCCAGCAGAAAGAGCAAGTAAACATTACATCCACTAATCTAGTAGTGGCCCACATTAACCAAGCAAACCATGCAGCATCTGGAGTGTAGCATTTAAGGTAGCAGCAGGTGAGACTGCTATGAATTCTTTTTTGGGGGGGATTTTGAGCTTATCACACTGCAGCTAGTTTAAATTTGACCCAGACTGAATTCAGGTACAGAGATGAAAATGCAGAAAAATAAAAACGCTGATGTTGAAGAGTTATGGTGCATGCACAGATTACTGGGAGGCAAATGACGGGCAGTAACAGACTAGCACCCTGCTGCTGCTAATGGATCCACTGGCTACTGGGTCATGCATACACAGGTCATTTTCTTTCAACCCATTACCTCCAAAATGTGTCACTATTAGGAGTCTGCTCATGACCACATAAATGGCTTACAATCTCTGTTGTCAGATCATTTCACCAACCATAAAAACAAGCTTTACTTAACTCTCACCTGGATCACACCATGACTGCAGACCCAGTGTCACTGGGGTATATCTACTGTATATTCTCTTTGCTGGCAAAATGTTCAAAGGTAGGTTTTCTGACCAAGTTGATTTAATCATGAGACATGTCATTTCTTTGTCAATAACAGCAAGGCAGATGGGAAGCTGAGCTGGACCTGCTGGGGTCTCTGATGAGGTGTAAGCACCCAAAGGGAACTGTAAAGGGCAATGCACTGTAGATAACAGGAGAAACTGCCACACATGTACTGTCAGGTGTATGGTTGTTTGCTGTAAGCTCTTTTGGCTCGTGAAGAGCTTCAGGCGTTGGACCGGTTTCTGTTACCCATAGTGTGTATTCAGCAAGACACTGCATTTACAAGCTTTTATACTAATGATTTTTCAAACATAGCCTGTGGAAATAAGGCTACATTTGGAAATAAGTGCCTTGCTGGAGCCACTTCCCATTGAAAAAGTTGAGTGATGCAAGTCTCTCTACTAGTGCTACTCTACTAGTGTTTGATAGAAGCTCAGACAGACGCAGTGTGATAATGGTGCAAAGCCTTTGGAACTGTTTTCTTCCTGAATAGCTGTCTGTTGTCTTCACTTTGAATAGAAGTGATATTAATCTGATGAAGCTGTGAAACAAGCACTGAATAAATGACTGGCAGACTTTGTTACTTACAGATAATTTTTCAGTTCAATTCAGTTTTGTTTGTATACAACAATGATCTCAGGGCAATTTACATAGTAAAGTCTAGATCTTACAGTATTATAGGGAAAGCCCAGCAAATCCCCCTTGAGCAAGCACTTGGCGACAGTGGAGAAGAAAACCTCCCTTTAATGGAAAAATCCTCCGACAGACCCCGGCTCTTGGTCGGTGGCTTTCTGCCTCGACCGGTTGGGGTGAGTGGATATAGGAGAGACAAAAGAAAGAAAAGCATCAGGACACAACAAACAAACACTGATCAGGTTGATGTGGCTGGTGACTGCTCATCAGAAACATACAGTACAGCTCCAGAGCCAGGGAGAATCATGTCAGAATACTGACTTTTAATTAGATAAGGGACTGAGTTATTTAGTCTGCTGTAGTTGAAATAGAAGACAAATCAATATGTTTCTGAGTATGGGGTGTGTGCCTGTGGGTTTGGAGGATGGGCTGTTTGAGGGCTTGTCAAAATTATGACGGTGAACTGGGCACAGGTACTGTAAACACCTTCAGGAGCGACTTTTGCTGCTACTTTATGAAGTTTTTTATCTAGCAGTCTTACTATAAGTACGATTTGTGGTTTCACCCTCTTTTGCATCTTTTGTCTGCTACGTTGTGCAGCAGCTGCTCAGGGATTCACAAGTCAAAGCAGAGACTTCCGACTCTTGTAGAATCACACCTTCAGCTTGTTTAGTCAAAGCTAATGAAAAAAAGTGTCGGGAGGTAGAGAGGCTGCAACCGATTGTTGAAGCTTTAGGAGGAGAAATATGGATTCTACCTTCTGTCCTGGAAGAGTAGACAAAGCTTTGTACCATTGCAGAGTTACCTCGGGATATTCCTTATGGAGGTGCATGAAAACTCTTCAGCCGTTCAGTCCATGTGCACTCAGTGCCAAGAATATGAGCTTTTGTTCTATGTTTAGCCCTTGTCTGCTCACCTTGTTTCCACTGTGATCCTGGGAACTGATATATGCATAGATGAACTGTTAAATAATGAGGAAAAATTCAATTTGCTGTCCAGAATGATCATAGGAAGGGACTGCTTATTGAAAATCCAAAAGTATTTGACATGATTTATTGCATGTCATAGATCTGTGCCATTCACGTGAACTCATTACCCTCTCTCTAAGATACCCACAGTGTCTACGTGTATCAGTACGCTCAGACTAAAGCCAGTTGGAGTGTGACAGCTCCTGTGTGTGACTGTGTATCTGATAAATGGAGCTGCATGGTGTGTGTGTGTGTGTGTGGTGGGGGGATACAGTACATCTGAGTCTTTGTGGATTCTGTCGTATGAGCGTTGTACATGTGGCTATAACAAGCACATACACACATCAATACAATCTCCTTTTCTGCCTGTCGCTTTATCTTTTTCTCTTCTGTCTATTCTGCTATTCCCAGCTGAGGGATGGCAGGGGGCCTCCTTTAGATCCACAGTTGATTGGAAAACGCTCTCAGTCATACTCCACCACCTCAGCCACTTATTACTACTTTCTCACCTCTGCCTCCTCCATTATATTGTAGGAACAGATGGATGAGAATGGGTAGAGTGTGTTTGTTATACCCAGTGTACCGGCAGCCAAATCTAATCTCTCTCTCCCTACTGTTCTTTCCCCTTATTCTCTCTCCCCCTTTTCAGGTCTCGAATGTTGTCCTTTCCTCTGAGCCTCAGACACCATCCCATCAAGCCAGGTGAGTCTCACAGTCTCTTCCTCTCTTTCTTTGTTTTTGTCAGCCTTGTTTCCTCCCCCCATTTGTCCCTCTCTCTCCCTCTCTCTGTCTCCCTCTCTTTCTCTGTCTCTTTCTCTTGGCTGCATATGTTCTGCTGCAAAGATGCTGCGTCACTATGGCAGTTTTCATACAGGGTGAACAGCCACAGCTGTAATTTCAGAATCGAAATCAAATGCAAGACTCTTTCGTCCCATCTGTTTTTCCTTTTACCTCTGTCACCTTGTCACTTTCACTGATGTGCTTTTTGAGTATTGTAATGAAGAATCCAAGGCCCCAGCTTATAGAATAATATCCATTTCTTTCTCATATTTGTTCTGTTGTTTATATTGATTGTAGATGTGTTAAAATAACAGGGTATGTTAGTGGCTT